TATGAGCTAACTTTTACTCTATCGAGAACGTTAAAAAACTCGCACTAAGGACACTGGCCTTTGTCAAACGCGTGATGACCTACCGGCATAAGTAGACGATACTTTTTTGCGAGTTGCCAAGCTCGGATTTTATTTGTGGAATGTGTTTGAGGAACCTATCGATACCTCAATACATTTTATGTCCAAATTTCGTAAATAGCATACCATGTAATGTATTCAGATATAAGAAAAAAGAGCAATGTCGTTTGGCACCGCTGTTACATAAAGTTTGAAGGTTTTTTTTTATTACTTTGATGGGTGAACGAGCTCACAGCCCACCTGATGTTAAGTGGCAACCGGAGCCCATAGACATCTACAACATAATACGCCACCCACCTTGAGATATAAGTTCTAAAGTCTTAGTATAGTCACAACGGCTGCCCGACGCTTCAAGCCGAAACGCATTAAAACTGCTTCCCGGCAGAAATAGGTGGGGTGGTGGTACCTACCGGTGTGGACTCACAAGAGGTTCTACCACCAGTAAAGAGTAAAGATACAAGTTTTCTTTTTTGTTTTCGAGCATCGGGCCGAACCTTCTACGATGCGACCGCGCTTAGGGTGCTCGCGGAGAATGTAGACTTGACGGTCTGAAGATGTTGGGAGCAGACCGCGGGCGCAAATATATTTGTAAGGGCCCTACCGCTCGAATAGACTCACCTTACACTCTTTCATCCGACATCCAATTTCCACCCGGGGTTAGAACCCGATCAGAGTAGTGGGGTTCCCGCAGTCAACACTACAACCAGACTCGCGGCGCCATCCCGAGGACGCTTGATGGTACAAGTGTGCTAACACCTAGTAGCAACTTTGGCAGTACCTCAGGAATTTACGAGATGGCGCTAAAAAAATATTTTTTTACTTCATGTTTTTATTAATGTTATGTAGTTTTTCCAGAAAATCACTTTTAAATAAAAACTTGATCTTAATTTTAGCTGTTGTGTTCTATCTGTCCGCAATTTATATATACTATTTTCATACCCAATTTATTTTCTTCATATTCGTTAACTTTGAGTTCATTTCAGAAAATTTTAAAACAGCGCCATCTTTTATCTAAATTAGGAACCACGCAAAAATGTTGGTTTTCATTTGAAGAGCTGGAATTTGTTGTTACGGGTTCTACATTTCAACGGTTTACAGTACTTAATAGATGGGGTTGTATAAGCCGCATAACCGAACTTAGTTTAAATTTCTCAGTATTTACATTCCATTGTTTATTTACAATAGCCTACAACAATTTATGTATTTACTTATAATGTTAGGCTTTAAATAGGCTTCAAATTTACAGCAAATTTGCGTCACAGTTACCTGTATCATTGATGGTGTTTAAGATTTATTAAAATTCATTTTGATGCTTCTTTACTACATTTTTTTTATCGCCCTTGTAGGCAGACGAGCATACGGCCCACCTGATGGTGAGTGGTTACCGTCACCCATGGACTTCAGCAATGCCAGGGGCAGAGCCAAGCTGCTGCCTACCGCTTAATACTCTCCACAAGCCTCGTTTGAAGAAGAACATATCATAGCGCTCGGGAAACACCGTGGAGGGGAGCTCATTCCATAGCCGGATGGTACGTGGCAAAAAAGACCTCTGGAAACGCACTGTGGATGACCGCAGTGGCTCCAGGTAGTATGGATGAACTCTACTCCGGTGACGGGCGGTGCGATGGTAAAAACGAGATGCCGGTATCATCTCGAACAATTCCTCAAAGCACTCCCCATGGAACATACGGTACAAAATACAGAGGGAACCGAAGTCCTTCCGCAGACCCAAAGACTACATTATTAAATATGTTAGAATTATGATAAAGAAAGTACCAAAATAAATGAAATCCATATTACCTTAGTAATTCAAGTAAGTATAACTTAACTAAATAATTAACAAATGAGCTCACAACCTACCTAAGCAATTTATCGGAGTTAAGTGGTTACCGAAGCCCATAGACCAACAACATAATTGCTGCCACCAATCTTGAGACATGAGCTCTAAATTTTTTAAATATTATTTTTATTGCATGGGTGGACGAGCTCACGGCCCACCAGATGTTAAGTGGTTACTGGAGCCCGTAGACATCTACAACATAGATGCCGCCACCCTCCTTGAGATGTGAGTTCTAAGGTCTCAGTATAGTACAACGGCTGTCCCACCCTACAAACCGAAATGCATTACTACTTCACGGCAGAAATAGGCGGGGTGGTGGTACTAACTCTTGCGGACTCACAAGACGCCCTACCATCAGTAGCCTGGTCTCACCTCATCTCGCCTTGTCTCGAGGACTGTAAATGTTTATTTTCTTAACAGTTACATCTGTTTTTGCAATCAAAATTATTATTATTTTCATTACCCTTGTCGGCAGACGATCATACGACCCACCTTATGGTGAGAGTGATTACATTACATTGATCTAAGGTCTAAGCGTATTCTTTTAAGACTTTCGTACTGCGATTAATATGTATTAATTACGTACGTACTTAGAATTAATGACTCAATAAGTCATAATTACTGAACTAATCGGGACGAGGTTCATTTTACCCATAACTTCGAAGGCAGATAAGGATCCAGTCTAATGTTAGTGTCGGTGGTCTAGTGTTTATTAATTGGCTCGATGAAGACCGTATTACCATTAATAAAATGTTATAAGAGAACATACATAGAATTTTATACGAATCATTGAAGAGAACATTTAATTTTAAACATGAAATAAATCGAAATCTTGAATTTCAAGTGTTTAAGTATGGTTTGTTTTTCGACTCAATATCTCGACCCAATGTAGGGATATATCCCATGAATCCACAGAAAAAAATATTTTTTTGGTATGCAGCGGCTTGGTCCTGCCCCTGGTATTGCTGAAATCCATGGGCGACGGTAACCACTCTCACCATAAGGTGGGCCGTATGCTCGTCTGCCTACAAGGGCAGTAAAAATAATTATTATTTTGATTGCAAAAACAGATGTAACCGTTAAGAAAATAAGAATTTACAGTCCTCGAGATAAGGCGAGACGAGGTGAGACTAGGTTACTGGTGGTAGGGCGTCTTGTGAGTCCGCACGGGTAGGTACCACTACCCCGTCTAGTTCTGCCGTGAAGTAGTAATGCGTTTCGGTTTGAAGGGTGGGACAGCCGTTGTACTATACTGAGACCTTAGAACTCACATTTCCAGGTGGGTGGCAGCACCTATGTTGTAGATGTCTATGGGCTGCAGGAACCACTTAGCATCAGGTGGGCTGTGAGCTCGTCCACCCATCTAAGCAATAAAAAAAAGGCGTCGTGGCCTAAAACATAAGACGCTAGGTGTAGCCGTATCGAACAGTATGACCGTGCCAGTGTTCAAATCCTGTAGTCGGATACCAACTTGTTAAAGAAAATATTTAAATATAAAAGTAAGTCTGTAATAATACTTAGCAGATGTTCACGGATGACTTTCACGATGTCGAAACAACGCGCTTAATAAAAATCAAATCAATTGAAATAAAACGGAGACCTCAAGTCTCCAGATGAATAGCATTCACGATGCCTATGAGCTCCGGTAATAACTTAACACTGGGTAGGCTGAGAGTTCAATCACTTATCTAAACAAAAAAGTACTTAACCATAATAAAGATTTGATGTGAAGCTTTTCACTATTTTACAAACCATACTTCTACTGTACGTATTCTTTGACTATAGCATAGATCAGAGAAAAAGATCATGGCTTATATGTAGTTATAATGGCTAGTATAAAGTGAGTATCTGGTCCATAGAGATCACATCGTGAATGTCACTTCCCACTTTGAAACACAAGTTTAGGGTCTCCAAAATAATTTCAAATCAATAGAGACGTGTTAATAATAAAATAAAATAGTATAGTTCATGGTAGTTAACGATATATTCGTGAATAACAAGGTATAAAGTGGCAAGTCGAAGTGATCACCAAAGTTACTCTGCAGTCTGCACATGCGCAGTGATTCGTATAAAAGACTTCAACGCGCGCGATTCTTACAGAGCTCTTATGATAAACAAAGTTTTAAATCATTAAATATCGGTTTTTCGATAGATTTAGTTGATTGATAGAAGATACAACCCACCATCCAAGCGTATAGGCAACATCGTGGCCCTAAATAGCTCTATGGGGGGTCATGGGTCCCACGAGTGTCGTTATAGGGATTGAGTGGAGAGTAGACAGCAATATTCTGTGAATATTATTATTATACGACCATCCTCAAACACGAAGTCTAAATCTCATTTGCATTGTCATAGCTGTTGTATTACCTTTCAACTAAGAACGTACCAGCAGAAATAGGCGGAGTGCTGATATCCACAGTCCGAAATCACAATTAATTTCTAATGAATATTTACGCAATACGCAAAGTCTACAAACAAATACGTCAAATGTAATTTACGTCTATCCGAGTTTTTATTCTTTCTAAGAACGGTAAGGAAATCGAACAATAAATTTATAATCCTTTGAGGTTCGTTATCATGGAATGATCATCACGCAGGCACAGTGGGAGCTTCAAAGCTGCGGGGGAGGTATCGGTCCGGCTTGATGGAAGGAGGGGCGCGGAGCGTTTCGAAGCCTCCGCCTGCCAGTGCCGCGCAGACCGCGACGCAACCCGCTTGCCGCGTACATTACTAAATCAACGCTGACATATTGACAAAAGTGTAACTGAAAAGTGACTAAGTTGTGCTGTTAAGTTTATGTATTGAAGTGGGACGTGATTACGAAGTGTTTGTGCGAACTATAGCTCGGACCGGCGCAGGTAGGGGAGTGTCACGTGTGTTTACGAATGAATGTGACGGCGTAGGCGCAGTCGCGACGGATCGCACTGTTCGTGAGATATTCGTGCGCGCGCAGGTCGCGGCCATGCTGCATACCTGACCAGAGCGAGTGCGCAGCTTGCGCGAACGGGACACAGAGAGCGTTCCCGGTACGCGTCGACTTTCGCTGACGAGGAATGGACTTTGCGATGTTTTTGTCGTTGTCATGACGAGGATGTGGCGATGGCACGTGGCGCTGGCGGTGCTGGCGCTGCTGGGTGGCGCAGGCGTGACCGCCGTCGCCGAGCAGATGCAGTCGCGCGCCGCCGACACCGGTGTCGATCTTCGAGTCCCCGAGGATCAACCGATCGGTACTCTTGTCGGTAGGATTCCAATTAAGCCTGGCTTCACGTACCGTTTTAATGAGCCTCCCAAAGAATTTGTTCTCGACCCTGTATCTGGCGAGATAAGGACGAATGTAGTGTTGGACCGGGAAACTGTTGATCGCTATGCGTTCGTGGTACTCTCAAGTCAGCCCACGTATCCTATAGAAGTGCGATTAAGGGTAACGGATGTAAACGATAATTACCCAGAGTTCCCGGAACCTAGTATCGGTGTGACGTTCTCGGAAAGTACAGCTGCGGGAACTAAGCTTCTTCTCGATGCAGCGACTGATAAGGATTTAGGTGAGAATGGTATCACTAATGACTACAGAATAATAGACGGCGACACTGAAGGGAAATTTAGACTGAACGTTACCGTTAATCCGAGCGGTCAGACTTCTTATTTGCATTTAGAAACTACAGGAAAGCTAGACAGAGAAACAACGGATTTTTACGTGTTAAACATCTCTGCCCGCGATGGCGGTAATCCTCCGAAATTTGGATACCTTCAGGTGAATGTTAGCATATTGGATGTAAACGACAACCCGCCTATATTCGACCAAAGTGATTTTTCTGTGTCGTTGAATGAGAGCGTGCCTCCTGGAACCACTGTCTTAAAAGTAACAGCCACTGATAATGATTTAGGAGACAATAGTAAAATTACGTACGAGGTCATGGACACAGAAAAACAGTTCGCCGTAGATCCTGAATCGGGCGTGATAACAACTAGTAGAATATTAAACTGTCCTAAATATTGTAGTAATGCTACATGTAACATGACATGTGTATTGACAGTCATAGCTAAAGATCACGGTGTACCACGACAAGATGCCCGGACTTATGTCACTGTCAACCTCATTGACGCCAACGACCACAATCCAATTATTACGTTCACGTATGTACCACCGACCGCAAATTTTGCTACAGTCGATGAAAATGCCAAGAATGGGTCACTTGTTGCCGCCATCACTGTTACTGATTTGGATGCCGGCTTGAATGGCATAACTAGCATCAGTATAGTGGCTGGTAATGAACTCAATCATTTTCGTTTGGAGAATTCTTCTAGTGTGTACATAGTTCATGTTAATGGCATATTGGATAGAGAAGAAATAAGTAAGTACAATTTAACTGTTGTTGCTACTGATCGCGGCTCTCCCCCGCGGACGACCACCTCGTTCTTGGTCATTCATGTGAACGACGTTAATGATCATGAGCCTGTATTCGAGAAATCAGAATATTCTACTATTCTAACAGAACTTGCTCCGCCTGGATCGTACGTTGCTAGTATTACCGCCACAGACGAAGACACTGGAGTTAACGCTGAAATATACTATGACTTCTATGACGGAAATCAGCAGCACTGGTTTGAAATTGACCATTTAACTGGATTGGTTACAACAAAGACTATTTTAGATCGGGAAGTTCAAGGATCAGTAGAATTAAATGTTTCCGCTAGAGACGGTGGTCCGAATCCGAAATGGGCGTATACAAGATTGAAAGTGACAATACTCGATGAAAACGACGAAGCCCCGAGTTTTCCACAAAGTCAAATAAATGCGACCCTTCCGGAAAATATAAAACCTATAAAGGAAATATTGATTCTTACAGCATCAGATTATGATCAAGGTACTAATGGTTCGGTGTCTTACTATTTACCACCGAGTATGGAAAGAAAGTACCCAAATACATTTGTGCTAGACCCAATCACAGGACAGCTGAGTACAGTCACTGAGCTAGACAGAGAAAAGGTAGCAATGTATGAATTGCAAGTGCTTGCAAAAGATCAAGGCTTTCCACCACAATCTTCAACAGCGACGGTGTATTTAAAAGTTTTGGATATTAATGACAACGATCCGGTGTTTTATCCTAGAAGATATGTCGCTAGCATAGGTCCAGAAATGACACCAGGCTCAAAAGTTTTGCAAGTAAAAGCGTTTGACCGAGATGAAGGTGAAAATTCCCGCATAATGTTTAAGCTTGAAAGTGGCGGAGATGGTTATTTTGAAATTGAACCATGGACCGGTAACATAATTTTACAAAAAGATTTTCGTACTGCTGCTGAAACTATTTATACTTTAAAAATTTCTTGTAAAGATAAAGGAAATCGAAAAGCATTCGAGGATGCCGTAGTTGAAATAATTAAAATGTCTCAACGTAAAGATTTGCAATTTGATGGACACAATGGATACAATTTTAAAGTTGTCGAAGACGAAGGTTTGTCTACACCTAATATAGGCCGGTATGTTGGTAAAGTTAACGCCGTAATTTCAAGTGACAACTTATCGTATTACATTATAGAAGGAGACCCTAACCAAGTTTTTAAAATTGATGAGAAATCTGGTATAATTACCACTGAATCGAATGTTGACAGGGAAGAGAAGATGACATATTATTTAAAAGTTATGGCTAAGACTGGCGTAGCGTTTGGATTTACTACAGTAAACATTTCTGTTTTGGATGTTAATGATAATTATCCATTCTTTATTGAGGATAGGGATGAAATTCACATACCTGAAAACATGGCAGTAGGACAAGAAGTATTATTTGCGAGAGCAGCTGATCGTGATTCTGGATCAAATCGAACTCTATTTTATAAACTGACGTGCAATCCAGAGAATTATTTCCGTATTTCAGATACCACTGGTGTTATTTATTTGAATAAGCCTATTTCAACAGAGCCTGGAAACGTTTTATTGATAGAAGTGACTGCGACTGACAATGGTTCTCCTGCACTTGCCACGAAGAACTCGATATCAATTATAGTAGATGACATTAATGATCACACTCCAGTTTTTGATCATACTTCATACGAAACTTCATTGTTGGAATCCACGCTAGTGAATACAAGATTTTTTGCAATTTCTGCTTCAGATGCGGATCTAAATCTCAACGGTCGCGTTTCATATGACATAGAAGAAGGTAATACAGATGAAAAATTTGGTATATTTCCAGATGGTTATCTCTATGTGAAGAGTCCGTTAGATAGAGAAGAAAGAGACTATTATTCATTAACTATCGTAGCCACAGATCATGGCACTCCCCCCAGATCATCGCAGGTGCCAGTAGTAATACATGTTTTGGATGAAAATGATAACAGCCCGCAATTCACGAATACAACATTCATCTTCAAAATCAAAGAAAACGAACCTCCAGATACTTTTGTTGGCAAACTAACGGCGACCGACAAAGACATAGGACGAAATGCAGAGCTGACATTTTCACTACCCATTGCCCAAAGTGACTTTAAAATCGATGCGCGGAATGGTTTCATAAAAACATTGAAAACTTTTGATCGGGAAACATTGGCCCATAATAGTGGTCAAAATTATATAACATTGACAGTTACAGTCAGTGATAACGGTAAAATTAAACTTTATGATTCCGTTAGGGTTACAATTTACATAACAGATGTAAACGACAATGCTCCTATATTTACGCGGACTCCTTACAAAATCGAAGTATCCGAAGGAGCCGCAATTGGGGCCTCTATAATGCGAGTTTATTCAACCGATGCTGATGAAGGCTTAAATGGCGATATATATTACAAATTGGTTGGAGGCGATGATCTAAGAAAATTCTCCTTAGACGAAGCCACAGGTCAACTGCAGATTCGTAAACGATTAGATCGAGAAACTAAGGATCAATATCGCCTTACAATCTTGGCTCATGATTCAGGACAATTTGTACAGCTATCTTCAACAGCAACTGTTATTATAGATGTATTAGATGAGAACGATAACGCTCCAGTTTTCTTTGTAACAGAAAAAGAAGTGTCTGTTTTGGAAACGGAACCTGTTAATAAAAAGATCATTCAATTTCTTGCCAGAGACGCTGATTTGGGTATAAATAGTGAATTACAATATTCAATCACATCCGGAAATAGGAAAGAAGCATTTTTTATTGATAGTTATTCTGGAGAACTATTTTTGCACAAGCAACTGGATTATGAAGATTTAACTTCATATGTAATGANAAAAGAAGTATCTGTTTTGGAAACGGAACCTGTTAATAAAAAGATCATTCAATTTCTTGCCAGAGACGCTGATTTGGGTATAAATAGTGAATTACAATATTCAATCACATCCGGAAATAGGAAAGAAGCATTTTTTATTGATAGTTATTCTGGAGAACTATTTTTGCACAAGCAACTGGATTATGAAGATTTAACTTCATATGTAATGAACATCACGGCGACTGATAGTGGTAGTCCAAGCTTGTCATCGAGTGTTTTATTTACTGTTAATGTTATCGACGCCAATGACAATGCGCCTATTTTTACTAATACTGCTATTGTGCGTCAAATCAGAGAAGGTATTCCAAAACACACTCCAATTGTTACGGTAACTGCAGAAGACCCAGATTCAGGTCTGAATGGTAAGGTTTACTATTCTATAACTCATCAAGAACCGTTTAATAATAAACGACATTTTGCTATCAATAATGTAACTGGAGTGATACACACATTATTACCTATAGACAGAGAAAGTATTGATACCTTTCGTATAACTGTCGCGGCGTACGACAGAGCTGAGCCTCCTTCAATACGGTTATCGGCCGAAAAACTCGTTACTGTAATCGTAGAGGATATAAACGATAACGCTCCCGTGTTTGTTTCTATGAATGCTGCTGTAATAAGTTCAGAAAGAATGGGAAGAAGCGCCAATCGTGGAATCTTCATTATGAATGTTTTAGCGCGTGATTTAGATTCGGGTACTAATGGCTTAGTGACTTATAAGCTAATTCACGGTGGCAACGATTTATTCGATTTACATAGAAGCAATGGCGCGCTGGTACTCCGATACCCTCCCGCAACTCCTGAAGCCAGGTGGAATCTTGTCATAAAAGCAACAGATGAGGCAGTATTAAGTGAGCAAAAAAGTACCGAAACATATCTCAATGTTATTATGGGTGGAAACGAACTCGATAGTATTGTGTGGACAAATGTGGGCATGGTGTCTGTGGCTGAAAACGAGCCCCCAGGCACCGCAGTGTTAAACTTAACAAACAATTATAGATCAGGCTTAGAATACTATATAGTGAATGTGACTGGTGACGGTAGACAAGTGGACAGACTATTTGATATCGACTCAGCGCTGGGCATCTTATCTACGGCCGTTTCCTTAGACCGCGAGGCGGGCACAGACCGTTATGAAGTTGAAATTTGTGCTGTTACGTCAGTGCCGCCTTTGAAAACTGCCACAACAAAGGTAAGTTTAATTTATTTTAAAACAACGGTCCGATACCTTTTATTTTGTTGAAACCAATTCACATTTCGAATTTCTGAATTCACAGTCCAATTAATTTCACGAAATCGTCGGTAGGAGACAAACACTACGCCCTACTGTTGTTAAAATAAAATGAGTATAAACGAAAGCTCGTTAGCGTATGTCGAATGGCGGCCTCTAATCGGGAGCTCTAAATTGCGATAAGTCGCGCCTCACCAACATATCGAACGATATCGAATATTCGTTCTGAAAATCTTCGATGATATTTCAACAGGAAAAAAATAAAAGCAAAAGTTTATCAGCGATAAACTGTTGTATTGTAGTTTTCGGATTGACATTTTTATACAAATTGTATTTGCGTGAGTTTCGTTTTATGAGAAAAACGTAACGATGTTGTTACCTCGTTTGATTTGTCAAGTATTGTTTTTTTTTTCGCCAACTAATTTGACCTTCGAACTAAAAAAACAATCTTGTTTTATTTTGTCGTCTCTTGAAGAAATAAAACTTTTATGCTGGTGTTGTGCTCGTAAAAGATCTCGTCGGATTACGATTACGATACAGCCTTTCGTTGCCTCTTAATATGCTATTTTAAAAGTGCCGAAGCAGAGACTTTGTTTAGATATTGCGCTAAGTTATATGTATAACAATTTTTTTTTAAATACTTTGTTGATATTGAAAGTAGACTGGTTTGCTGCCAACCAAACGATAGTTGGTCACAAGCATTGGCAGACCGGGCCCTAAACACGTCATTACGGATTCTCTCTATCCATTAACGGTGCTTTTAGGTACCTCAAACACCGATCACCGTCCTCGCCGAACTCGCCGCTTGCAACGAAGTGCTCGAAGAGTAAATTAACCCATAGACACAGCCCACTGAGTTTCTCGCCGGATCTTGTGAGTGGGTCGCGTTTCCGATCCGGTGGTAGATTCTGCGAAGCACTGCTCTTGCTAGGGCCAGTGCTAGCAACACTCCCGGTTTGAGCCCCGTGAGTTCATCTACACGTCAAGGAGAAGCTAAAATAGCCTCTTAAGGCTATAAGCATAGGTAGAAAAAAAAATGGCAGACAGGTAAACGATCATTATAGTATTAGTACGAAGTGTTATGTTTTTTTTTTAAATCTCTAAATTTATCATCTGTAAATGTCGATGCTAAAATTTTGTGGTAAAGAAATAATAAAATGCTCGATGGTGTTCTGGTTCGAACGTGTCGTAAAGCAATCGACTGCGGCGACCGTTATAAACACTTTACCGAACTAATTCAAAAACTGCAGAACGGTTTTAAATTTTCGGCAACAACGCACGGACCCGAAATTCACATTTGAATACGTGAATTGGTCCGCTTATTTATGTAATTGACAGCGACCAATTTGCCGACGCGTCTGGGGACTGTGACAATTACAGAGAACAATTTATTCCTATCGAAATACGAATTTTGATATTTTTGATAACAAAAAAGTTGTTTAGTTTTCTATGATACTGTTTGATCGGATTGCGGCACACATTTTGAAAGGCTTTTCAGAAAATATATTTGTATGTTTTGGAAAAATAAACTGCTAGACTTACTTTAAAAGCAATTGTTTTTTAAAGCTAAACTTACTAAGCTACCAGTCGTTGCAATTAAAAAAATACTGTCAAAAAAGGCTAAGAACTCGAAACTGATTTTCGTTAATGAGAGAAAAGAAAAAAAAATTATGAAATCAAGATCTATATAACCTTTAATAACAAATTAGTTTTTATTTTTGCATTCCATAAATAAATATAAAATAAATAAACTTTTGACGACAGTTTTTAGAATTGCATTCGATATAAAATGTTATTATGAGAAAAAAGAACAATGACAGTGCGAGTATAAAAATATTTAAGGGGAATAATTGTATGAAGAGTTCGCCATGGAAGAGGGTTAGCTATCATCCGACACTGAAAGCGCATTAGGGCGTCGGGCAGCATTCTCGGGACTGATTTATGCAACTTGCAACCGCCGGCGCGGGCATCGACATACGCCTTAATGAACGTACAAGTTACGTTATAGTGTGAAATGGCTTTCATTATTTCACGCCAATACTAATAGTTTTCGGCCTATGAGAAATCTTTAAATCGATTAAAGATAATGTTGCTTTTGTGTTTTGTTGGAATGTTGTAAGTCAATTCGACAAATACGTTTTCGGCTTAATGGATTTAATAATTTCGATTATTTCGATTTATTCAAGATATTTCAGAATAAGAATAATAATAATTTTAGTTCGATAAATGGTACGATCATGTTTCACTGACGTAGCTTCGAATTGCTAAATACCCTAAGTTGAGTTTTAGAGTCTCAGTTCGTCTGTTAATTAGTAGTTTTTTGCTTTTATCAACGAATACATAGAGAGCCCAGGCAAAAGGGCTGACCGAGTCTACGAAAGCTACTATGTTAAATCATAATTCTTTGTAGTACCTCATTATTGTCCGTTGATAAAGAAAATCGATAGTGCAACGCCTCTCAAATGCATGCCACTTAAATTATCAACTTACAGAAAGAAAATTTACTGGTTTTGAACTTTGAAGTGATGTCTAAAAAATTTCGCTCCGTAATGTCTCAGAAGTACAACCAACTCCCATTCAGATGTTTTTAATATTAAAACGTTTCTATGATACAGATATAAAATAGATGATACAGAATAGAATTAAACGTTGTACTGGTCGGAAATTAAAGTGAGTCTCTCCCTGGCCTTGTACGTTTGCAGTCAGTAGCATCTATAATTAGCAATCCTATGAAATAATTACAAGTGTAGAGACTAGCATCATTTATTTGCTAGTTTTATTTTATGTATTTGATGGTGGATTTTTTTAATTGTTTGTAAACATATTTTTCGGTTTCTTAAAGGCGTTGTTGGATAAAGGAGCTCACGTTTCGTCTGGTGTGAATTGGTTACCTTGATACTCTTCGCTTGAGACATAACTTTGAAGTCTCAAATATATTGTATAATGGGTATTGCGTTTTCTTCGAAGCAGAATACTTGACTGCTTCGTATTCGAAATAAGCTATGCCTACCCGTGCAGGCTTCAAAATACGCAGTACCTACCTAAATAAATTTATAAGTATAGCGATTTTGTTTTTAATTGTATTATGTTGGTTATGGTAGTCGTTTGTGTACATTTTTAAGTACACCTTTGCCTAAGGAAACGAATTTTAAGTCTGACAATCGCTTCGCTCGATAACAGTAAAATGACATTTAATTATTTACGACACGACGATTTCAATTCATTTCATAAACTATTGTACATAAAAATCAATAAAAAGTAACGTTTTGTTCTCAAAAATACGTCATTTCAATACAATCAATAACTTACTTCCAATATGCATCTACAGTCTATCATTGTGCCTCCTTACGGATCCATCAGATTCAATAACTTTTGCATTAGAAGCCTTCAGCTCTAACACTAGGAGCAGGCTTAGGGGCCCCGGTAACCGTATTCGTCGGACTCGGCAAAGAGTTTGACATGCAACCTAACCCATGCTTCAGCCCGCTGAGTTTCTCGCCGGATCTTCTCAGCGAGTCGCGATTCCGATCGGGTAGTAGATTCAATCGCGAAGCAGCTGCTTTTGAGTTGTTAGGTTTCCTCTGGAAGCGCTCGGGCAGTTGTTAGCAAATACCACCCCTCCTGGATGAGCCTTTGCTCGTCCTCTTGTCCTGTTGAAACTGGAAAGGCTTCCGCGCCAACAGTTATCCCACGTTCACAAAAAAAAGTCTATCATTATATTACATAATAATTCAATTAGCAAAACCTGATGCCGTCTAAATTTACGTATGCCATTAAAGTCTCTTCGAGAAAAGAACTGATGTTAAACCATCATTTTATTTTAAAACCTAAAAAATACACCAGTTTTTATCAATTAATAAGCGGTACAGTTTTTTGTTTGTGCATTAAGTTATCTTGAACGAAATTAGTGGATTTTTTCTATTCATAATTATATCGAGAAAGACGTTCGCAACGAGCGTCTTCGTGTCAATTTGAACAGCTGTGACGACGCATATGTTTACGGAAATATTTTATTCCTGTGCATAATTGAGCACTGGAATGGAAATCAAATTATCTAATAATCTATTTTTTTATTTTTTATTGCGTAGATGGATGGACGAGCTCACAGCCCACCTGATGTTAAGTGGTTACTGGAGCCCATAGACATCTACAACGTAGACGCGCCACCCACCTTGAGATACAAGTTCTAAAGTCTCAGTATAGTTACAACGGCTACCCCACCCTTCAAACCGAAACGCATTACTGCTTCACGGCAGAAATAAGCAAGGCAATTAATATTAATCTATATTTATTGCTTAAATGGATGGACGAGCTCACAGCCCACCTGGTGTTAAGTGGTTACTGGAGCTCATAGACATCTACAACGTAAATACGCCACCCACCTTGAGATATAAGTTCTAAGGTATCAGTATAGTTACAAAGGCTGACCCGCCCTTCAAACCGAAACGCATTACTGCTTCACGGTAGAAATAGGCAGGCATATTTCTCAAATTCTCCATTAAAAGATGACCTAAAAAAAAAAAACGATAGCGCGATGGACGACGGTCTTGTCTATGTTTGCTAAATGTTTTGCCTTTAACAAAAGAGTACTGACGTAATGAATTTCCACTATAAGTTAAACGACTTGAGAATTAACGGTCACCGAGACATACGTTTTAAAAAATTATTTGCTATCATTTTTCATACTAGTACTACGGCAGAATTCATCCAAGTCATACGAGCCATTACCTAAATTATGTAAATGAGTGACGTCACACAAGTTAAAACTCTTCACAGGATCAGATGCGGTTTCCTCAACAGAAATCAGATTCGAATTTCCGTATTGCACCCCGAGCTACATAAGACTAGCGTATATGTTCATATTATGTAACGGCGAAGGAACAGCATCGTGCAGTAAAGCAAAAGTCGCAAAATTTGCGTAATGAGCAACGGTAGAGCGTACGATGAGCCAGTACGATCAG